CAAACACTCCCAGGGACAGCATGGGGTTAGATACAGAGTAAAGCTCCCTCTACACTGTCCCCCCCATCAAACACTCCCAGGGACAGCACGGGGGTTAGATACAGAGTAAAGCTCCCTCTACACTGCTCCCCCCATCAAACACTCCCAGGGACAGCATGGGGTTAGATACAGAGTAAAGCTCCCTCTATACTGTCCCCCCCCATCCCAGGGACAGGGACAGCACGGGGGGGTTAGACACAGGGTAAAGCTCCCTCTATACTGTCCCCCCCATTCCAGGGACAGGGACAGCACGGGGGGGGGTTAGACACAGGGTAAAGCTCTCTCTACACTGCCCCCCCGCCCGCCGAACCGTCTCATGACAGGGACAGTGTGAGTGCCGAGCTGCGACATGTTGCGATACCTTGTCTCTAACGCTCCCTCTCTCTCCCGATCTCCCGGAGGGACAACATTTCGCCGAGTGCGCTCCAAGTTCTCGAGGAAGTTGTGTGCCTGGAGCAGGGGTGTGCGCGTGTGCGTGTGCGTGTGCGTGTGCGTGCGTGTGCGTGTGCGTGTCAGCGTGGGTGCTGGGCACTATTAAAAGCGCTGTGCCCTCACCTCCCTCTCTCCTCGCTCCCCCAGCCCCTCCAGCGTTACTAAGCTGTAATTGTGACTGCAAGTCATTATGAGGTGGAAGCTATCCCCTGCTGTAGTGTCGGGCTGAATGGCTCACCGCTCAGGCCTCAGCGTCTCTCTCTCCCTCTCTCTCTATATATCGTAGCCCCCCAGGGCCAGCGGCATGTACACTACCCCAGCATCATTCTCTCTCTCTCTCTCTCTCGCTCCCCCACTCCATCGCCATCCTCTCTGTTTTCCACTCTCGCTCATCTCTCTGTCCCTCTCTGTCTTTGTCCCTCTCTCCCGTTCTGCCTCCCCATCTCTGTCTCTCGCTCTCCGTATCCCTCTATCTCTCTCAGCCCTCTCTCTCCCGCTCCCCATCCCTCTCTCTGTCTCTTTCTCTCTCTCTCTCTCTCTTTCTCTTTCTCCTCCCCCCTCCCCCCCCCCCACCGTCTGTCTATCTCTCTCTGTCTCTCCCCTGCTTTCTCACCCCTCTCTCGCTGTCTCTCACTTGCATCTCTCTCTCTCCCTCTGTCTCTTTCTCTCTCTCTGTTTCTCATCACTCTCTCATCTCTCTGTCTCTCCCTCCTCTATCTCTCTCTCCCTCTGTCTCTCTCTCTCTCCTTCTCTCTCTGTCATCTCTCTCTCTTTCTCTCTCCCCCATCTCTCTGTCT